TGAACCAAAATCATTTTCTTTAATTATCATAGTTTTTAAATATCTTTATTTCCTTATGTAAGTTCTTCCTCATTATTTTTTAGGACTGTCTTGGTTATTCTTAGATCATTACTTTTTCATATGAATTTTAGAATTTCTAATACCAGCAAAACAACCATACAGAAACTATTGGAATAAATAGGATTGCATTTAATTTATTGCTTACATTGGGGACAATTGACAGTTTTACCCTACATTATTCAATATTATGGTAATGTTTTTATGATACATTTGTCTGTTAGTTCAGGTATATTGTTTTATAATTACTCCCTTAAAGTAATTTTTGTTGCTTTTTTGCCCCCTCTCCTTGGTATCTTAGTGATTTTTTAAAAAATATGTATGCAGCAATCTTGCCTAACTCCTTTATTACATCTAATGGTTTGTTGGGTTTTTGGATTATCTGCTTGAGAGATCGTATCAACTACAAATAACAATATTTTGATTATTCCTTATACTTCCCATTTTATGTAATTTAGTTTATTGCTTTTGCCGAAATTTCAGGTATAGTGGTAAAAATTGTGTGTGTGTGTGTGTGTGTGTGTGTGTGTCTGTTTAGGCGAGGCAACCCTTGGTTGACCTCACAGATTGTAAGGACTTTGTCAGCTTACAATCCCTTATTTTTAATTATTTTTTTATGTTTTATTTTTTACACCTACAGCATTTGGTCTTCCTAGGTAGTCTCCCATCCAAGTACCAGCCAGGCCTGACCCTGCTTATTAGCTTCAGAGAAAAAATATGTATATATTTAATTATAAGTATTTTTCTTCTTTCTCTGCCATTTTGGTTTTTATTCTTTTTTTTTTTGATTAGTTACCACATAGCAATGTTCTTGCTAGGAGATTTACAGCTTCACATTAATTTTTATATTATTCATTAAAACCAAATGACTTAGCATCCAGCAAAACAGGTGCAGGAGCCAGACATCCTATATTACAGTTCTTGATGCTGCTTTAACCCTCAAACTCTTTGATCTTGGGAGTATCAAATTACCTCTAAGGTCTTGGTTTGTTTCTTTGAAGTATGCATGCTTTTCATTTCTGAAGTTCTGTTAAGTCAAAAGTAGTGATCTTGGAAGACATAAAGATTAAGAGAACAGTATTTTTCCACCTGTTTTTTCATCTGTTGCTAATTTTATTTATAAGAGGCAGTGCTTCATCCTGTTTCAGTTGACTTTTTATAACTAAGACTATTAAGTTTTATCTGGGTTTCATATAGGTGATACATGTCATGTAGAATAAGTATTACTCTATATATTTGATGTATATTTACTATTTCAGAATTTTAAGTGTGAAAATAATAACTGCATATGTTAAGAAAGTTAAACAATATTAATTAATTAAATCTTCCTCTCTCAGATTCCTTCAGTCCTTTCCTCCAGAGGTGATGAGAGAGTGGTTTTATCTGTTCATTTAGGAATTTTCTGTCTCTCTTTACGTAAATGGAAATGTGCAATAGACACTCATTTGCTCCTTTCACTTAATAGAGCTTCAGTATATTTGTAGTCACCATTGTTTCAAGTATACACACAACATTGTTCTTGTGCATCATGATTTAATTATTCATTTCTCTACATGTACAAACATTGTCTCTTTGTTCACAAATAATATTGCAGTGAATACATTTTTTATGCTTTTGTTAAAAGTTTTTTATTGTGGTAAAATATACATACATACAGTTTACCATTTTAAGCATAAAATTCAGTGGCATTTAGTACAATTACATTGCTGTGCAACCATCATCAATATTTATTTTCAGGACTTTTGCATCATCCAAAACAGAATCTATACCCATGAAGCAATAACTTCCCATTCTCCCAGCCCATAGTAACCTCTATTCCAGCCTCTGTCTTTATAAATTTGCCTATTTTAGATACTGCATACAAGTGCAGTCATGCAATATTTGTCCTTTTGTGTCTGGTTTATTTCACTTAGCATAATGTTCTCAAGGTTTATTCATGTTGTAGCATATATCAGAACTTAATCACTTTTTTATTGGGTTATTTCCACCTTTTGGCTATTGTGAACAATGCTGTACAATTATCTGCTTGTGTCCCTCCTTTCAATCTTTTGAGTATATACCTAAGCACATTACTGGTTAATTTTTTTTTTTCCTGGAAAGGAAAAGATTAATGGGGTAGATATTGGTCTCAACACTGTTCATAATGGTGTCATAAGTGTTGGAAGTATTACTATTTTTTATAATAATTTTTTATCTTTCAGTTATGGTCGGCATACAGTATTATTAGTTTCAAGTGTACAACACAGTGATTAGATATTTATATAACTTACGAAGTGATCACCCTGATAAATCTAGTACCCATCTGTCACCATACATAGTTATTACAATTGTATTGACTGTGTTTCTTATGCTGTACTTTACATCCCCATGACTACTTTGTAGCTACCAATTTATACTTCTTAATTCCTTCCCTTTTTACCCACTCCCCCAACCCTTCTCTGATCTGGCAACCATCAAAATGTTCTTTGTAACTGAGTTTGTTTCTGTTTTGTTTATTTATTTTCTTTAGATTCCACATGTAAGTGAAATCGTGGTGGCTAATGTAATTCTGTTTTAGCATTTTGAAGAGCATGAAACTGTTTTCCACAGCAGCTGCACCATTTTATGTTCCCAGCAATACAGGAGGATTCAGATTTTTTTTGCATGCTTACCAACACTTGTTATTTTACACTTTTTTGATAAAAGCCATTTTAATTGGTGTAAAGTGGCATCTCATCATGGTTTGGACTTTCATGTCTCTAATGACTAATGGTGTTGAGTATCTTTCCATGTGCATATTCGTTTGACATTTGTATATCGTTTTTGGAGAAATGTTCTGTTGAAATCCTTTGCCTTTTTTGTTTGTTTGTTTTTGTTTTAAGACTTTATTTTAAATATTTACTTTTCAACTACTTGTTTCTAATGATTCAAAGTACACTAAGATTTATTTTTATGGATTATCATTCTGGAAACTTACATGAAATCTAGGTCTGTGAATTTTTTTAAAAATTTCAATTACAGTTGACATTCAGTAGTTTATTAGTTTCAGGTATACAGCATAGTGGTTAGACATTTATATAACTTACAAAGTGATCCCACCAAGAAGTCTAGTACCCACCTAGCACCATACATAGTTT